GGCCGGCGCGGTGCCTGTTTCTGTCGCACAACAGCAGCCCCAGGCACACACGGCCCCCCTCAGGGCGGCGCTAGGGCCGGCGGCGGCGAGAGGCGCTCCGCGCGGCGCCCGCGCCGTCAGTGAGCTGGGGGGCAAGAGTCGAAGCCGCGAGGCGACGGGTGCGTGTGCGTGTGTGAGGGGGGGGCCGCTCACCACTGCGCCGAGCGGCGTCTCGGGGTCCCCCAGGCTGGTGGCTGCCAGGCTGTTGACCTCGTCAACGCTGGACGCCAGGTCAGCGCCGACGGCCGCCAGCTTGGACGATACCTGGGGGGGATTCATGGGTCAGGCGTTTTTGGGGAAGATGACAGGGCGCGCTGAGCGATGTCATGTGTGTGTGTGTGTTCTTGTGTGTGTGTTCTTGTGTGTGTGTGAGTGTGTGCTTCTCGTGTGTGCGCGCGCCCATGTATGTGTGTCTGTGTGCGTGTGTGTCGGGGTGTGTGTTGGGAGAATCTGGGGGTTTGCGGGTTACAAAAAAGTGAGGAGGAGGGTCGCCGTCGTCCAAGAGACGCAGCCGCCCGGCAAAGCGCGACCGCGGAAGCGCGCGCGCTGCGGCCCGAGGGGAGCCGCGGCGCGGCGCCGCGCGTGCAGCGGCGCGCGTGCGGGCCGTTCACGGCGGCCCCCAACGCCGGCGCGCAGCCCGGATCTGCGGCCAGGCTTCCAGGGTCCTCTGGAGGGCCCTGAGCGCGTTCAACAGCCCCCCTCCCTCTCCCTCCCCCCTCTCTCTGCCTGCGTGTGCCTCCCTCTCCCTCTCTCTCTCTCTGCCCGTCTCCCTGTCTCGCCTTCCCTCTGCCGCGCGCTCTCGGACCTCCCTGCTCCCCCACCTGCTGCGCGCGCGCGTAGAGCCTGTCCCTCTCCTGGGCGTCCCCGTCCATGAGGCGCCGCTCGGCGCTGAACATGCGCTCCGCCTCCGCCTCTATGCTGCTGAGGGCGTCATGCACCTCCTGGGGGTGGGGTTGGGGTGGTGTTGGGGGGTGGGGCTACCATTTCTAAGATGGGATGTGACGGCATGGGATGGGACAGACAGAAACAATAGGGTTGTCGTGTGGGTAGGATGCAGTATTGAGCAGGATGGGTGGGGGCGAGCTGCGCAAGTGAGGGTGGGGCCCGGCGGCGGGGCTGGGGCAATCCAGACGCGTGGTGTTGCCAAGAAGCCATGCAGGCGAGATGAGAGATGCGGGGGTACGTCAACAAGGCATGCACATGCTGCACAAGCACGAGTGCACATACATGCACAAGTCAAGCTCACACCGGATTGCGCATGCGAGTACACACACACACACACGC